TGTGTGGGGGAGGGGCCTGGACTTCATCCTGAGGCAGGGGGTGTCATGGGAAGAGCAGGGGGGGAAGGGCAGGTTGGGGTGAGAACAGAAAGCTGGGGGAAGGGGAAGGGAGGCCTGGGGTTGAACAGGAATGTCGCATCTGCTGGGGGGTGGTTACAGGGCACAAGATGGATATGAGCTGTGCCCTGCAGTTGGTGTGGCTGACTGAGGACCTCACACCTCCACAAAACGGCAAGTAAACAAATATGGGCACTTCCCTTGGTCCCGCAAGGCCACTCACCATCTGCTGGGGACCAGGGCTACAGGGGCGAGAAGGGGCACCCAACCCACCTCTCTGATGGGCGGGGCTGGTGGTGACCCCCCGAGGAGCCCACTTGCATTGCCCCCGGCGTGTGGCGTGTTCATTATCTGCACCACCTCCCTTATTCCTCCCTAAAGGGGACACTGTTGTTCCCCCATTGCACAGCTGCACAAACTGAGGCCCAGAACAGTTAGGAAACCCACCTAAGCTGGCCAGTCTGGGAAGAGGCGGAGCTGTGATTTGCACCCGGGCCTTTCTGACGGAACCACCCACAGCCCCGGTGGCACCCTGGCCCAGGCCTTCAAGGCCCCCGACTGATGACAGAGCTTCTGCCTGGGACAGCCAGGCCAGGCCCTTAGCCTGCCCCCCTGGCCTGTGGCCGGCGGGACCCCCAGGCCTATCCATGCATGATTGTTCCTTCTCCCCAAGGCAGGCAGGCCCTGCTGCCCCAGGACCACGCAGCGTATCGGACGAGGCTGTCCCCGTGCCTGCCCAGGCTGTGGCTGCTGCTGGACCCGGCGGGTGGCAAGGGACGGACCTGGAAGATTTATGAGCTGGGTTAAAATTTAATTTGGGTGGAAGATCCCGGCCAGCTGAGCTGGCTGCCCCAGACAAATGGCCCGGCCCCCGCCGAATCCTGCCCGCCAGCCTGGTGTTTGGGCCTAGCCCCTGTGCCAGCTTTCCCTATCCCTCCCCGGAAGGCCTCCCGCCCCCCGCAGAGTAATCATAGCACCGAATTTGATTTGGGGTGGGAGCTGCGGGCTCTGAGCCTTGTTGGCACTTCAGCTCTAAATTGAACAGGACAGAATCTGCTCTGGGTGGGAACTGCCTCTGCCAGGGCCTCCCTGCAGTGCCCAGGGACGGCGCTGCCTCCTGAGGAGCCCTGCCAAGCCCCCCGACCCCTCACTCTGGAGGAAGTGGCCCTGGACACTTCCACCTGTCCGCTCAGATGGGCCCCACCCAGCTGCCTTTTGTCCCCAGCACCCTGATCCTCCCTGGAGCCTGACTGCTTGGGCTTGAATCTCAGACACACTGGGGGATCTTGTGCAAGCGACTATGCCTCTCGGAGCCTCAGTTTCCTCATCTGTAAAATGGGACCTATTGTTATTAGCTGACGTGATAAGGTAACCATGGCCCCGTACATGGTCCTCCCCACCCCTCACTGTCACAGGGCAGTGCCCAGGCTGCAAGGGGTGGGGGAAGCAGGGGGTTTGCAGAGCTGGTGAGGGGTCTTTGACTTTCTGATAATCCTGTGATCTGGTTCCCCTCCAGGGCCAGGGCATCACCTCTTTGTTTTTGTTTTCTTTTCATTAAAAGAATTTTTTTTTTTCAGTTACAGTTGACAGGGCATCACCTCTTTGGACCCGTAGCTTTGGGTTGTCCAGTCTGGCTAGATAAGGAACAATGCTGGGGTCCCCAAGGCATGTGGTGTGGAGGTGTGGAGGCCAAGGCCAAGCCCTGGTGGGCCCTGTGCACAAACCTGCTTCCTCCCTGAGGAAAGCTGAGTGGCCCCATCACCACTTTCACCCCACTACCACATGTTGGGATTCTTCTAGGGGCTTTCCTGAGTGGGGACTGTGCACCCATTATACAGATGCAGAAGTGAGGCGCAGAGAGATGAAGAAACTGCCAGGGATGAGGTCCGCAGGGTAGTGCCCAAGACAGGCCCTTTGACTTTAGAGCTCAGGCTCCTCCCACTACCCCTGAGATTCCTCTGCTGCCTCGCAGCTACTGTCCAAGGCAGGGGGTTATGGAGAGAAGAGAGGGAGCTGAGACAGCTCAGGCAGGGTGGGAGATGCTGAGGGGGCCCAGTGTTGCTCAGTACAGGAGCACCCCACCTCCAGCACTCTGACGCACACATGCTCACACATGCCCGTACACACGCACACTTCACGCTGCCACTGGCAGGAATCCAGGCCCGGAAATAGCTGTGTCACCTTTGGAGGCCGAGTGCTTGTCACTGGCTGTTCTGCCCAGACCTGGGGAGGAGGCTGAGAGGGGGAGGCTGCAACAATCCAGGATTGCACAAGGCGTGTGTGCATGCACACATGCATATGTGCACCTGTGTACACATTTACCCTCCCGCATGCACTCACATGTACAAACTCACACGTGTGCACACGGGATGGGGAGGGTCAAGCTTCAGATGCCATCGACCTGGCCTCACTGCTAGCCTCGCCTCCTGAGGGACCAGTAAAGGTATAGCCTGAACCCGACACGCTTATTCTCCACTTGTGACACCTCCTCACACCACCCATGGCAATGCCTGGGGGGGTTGTCTGCACTGAGGAGTAGGTGGTCCCCAGCTCCTGCCCAGTGGTGGTCCTTGGCCGGGGCTGCCCAGCACCCTTGCACAGAGGTGAGGCCAAGCTGTAGAGGGGGATAGGATACCCTTGAGGGTCTCTATTACCCTTTAGTCACCCCCCCCCACCGAATCTGGGGTCCTTCTTTCAGACCCCCTGGGATCTGGGAGCCTCCCCCAGCTGCACCAGCCATTCCCACCCTCTGCTCCAATCTGGGCTGAAGGACCCCAAATCCTCTTTCTTGGGGACTCAGCTCTGTCCTTTGCAAGTGCTGAGCTAATCCTCCCAGTGTGCTCAGGAGGGTGGAGGGATTAATGTCAACATATTTGCATTGTAGCAGGAGCATCAGGATCTGGGCTCTAAGAAGTCAGCACAGGTGAGGAGTCCACTCGGGCATGCACAGCCCTGCCACTGCCAGCCACACTGCCCCTGCACAGGGCCCTCACCCTCACCCTCACCCTCACCCAGCTGTCCTCCTCTGGCCCAGTGCCCAACTCCCCAGGCCCCAGCAGATACCACATGTCACCAGCTCACTCACTCTTGACCTTGGGGCTGGGGTACCTCTGGAGCTCCCCATCCCCCCACACACACACTAGCAGAAGAGCCCAGAAATAGTCCTGTCCACGCTGTCTCCCACTCCCTGCTCTGACCTGGTGTCAACATCTCCCTGCAGCCTCTCACTATTTACTTACGTACATTTTTATTTCTTCCCATCTCATCCTAAAGGGTTCGTGGCAGCTTACAGAAATACACCCTAAGAGGAGGGAGTACGGTGGGGGTGGAACAGCCCGGACTCTGAGCAGGCAGGCTTGGATTCCAATCCTGATCTTTATTTACTTACTTTTCCCGTGGAGTCACTTTGCCTCTCTGAGCCTTGGTTTCCTCACCTGTAAAATGGTGCCCAGCCAGGGGGTGTTAACGGGATGAAGTGAGAAAATGCCAGGGAACGCCTGGCACATGGCAGGTGCAAACAGCACAGGGGTGCCATTGTGTTTAGGACAGAAGGCAAACGGAGAAGTCAGGGCAAGACAGGTCGGGGGCGGAAGTGGAAGGCGGTGCTGGGCGCCTCTCAGAACCCTGGTGCCTTCCAGGTCCTGGCAAACTCTGAGCTGAAGGGAAGCGCCCTGGGCAGGGGTCTCAGCCTTCTCAAATGCTGAGGTCCAGGGATTCCCCCAGATTCCTCTCGGAGGGGAGCCCTTTGGGTGACATCCCAACCCTGCCTGCCCCTCATGGGGTACCCAGAGCCTGCAGGATGGAGAAGGACAGAGGTCTGGGGTTCCAGGTCAGGGACTTGACCCTCCCACCTGGTGCCTCCACCCAGAAGTGGGGTCTTCAGCCCCGGCTTCTGAGCCTCACCCAGAATCTGAAGCCCGCTTTGGCCTTGAGCTCTGATCCCCATGGGCTTATTCACCCGCCAGGACCAGCTCTTGGGCCTAACCCCCAATTACCCCCAAGCCCCAACCATCACCTCCTCCAGCGGGGAGCTCCCAGCCTGCCCTGAATGTGGCCTAGCTGCTTAGGGCTCCATCCCCTCTGACTTTTCCCCAGCCATCAACTGCTCCTGGCCCCCCATCCTGTCTTCTATGGCTTCCCCAAATCCTCCTCAGAGGGACCTCCCTCCCGGCTGTTACCCCATCTGAAACCACTTTTCAGATTTACTCCCCTGCCTGTCCCCCCAGCTCAGGGTGCCCTCCCTAAGGCACAGCCCGCTCTCCCTGCACTGCTGGGTCCCCCTGCCCAATTAGGTCGGTGCCTTGAAGCTCTGCGCTCTGTAAATATTTGTAGGATGATCGATGAAGGACTCACTCTCTGCCAGGCTGCCAGCCGAGAAGCCTCTCCATAGCCCCATGGCTTCCCTGCCAGCGGGAGTCGAATTTGCAGGCAGATTGCCCCGGGAGACAGGCAGTCAGTGCTGCGGCCACCCCCCGGGACCCCATGGGGCACAGGGCCGTGCTCACACCGATGCCCACCCAGACAGCTGCCCTCCTGGGCATCCCTCCGAGGCTGCTGAGGGAGGCCGGGCAGGAGTAACCAGATTAGCCTAAGCGGCTCCTGTTGTTTCCTGGTGTAATTGGATTGAGGCCATGTTTCGGTGCAGCTGCATTTAATATGTAATTCCAAGGCGGCCTCACCCCCTGAGAGCATCACTGCAGATGGGACTGGGTGGGGCCTTTGGGCTGGAGAAGAGGCCAGGGGTGGGGTCTCACATCTCTAACCTGTGCCATGAGATACAGCGTGTCCCTCTCCCTCTCGGAGGGCATCGTCTTTCTGGGCGAGGGGCACGGCCTGTTCTGCCAGCCTCTCTGGGCTGGATGGGAGGCTGGGCAGGGGCTGGGCATGAGGAAGGGAGGGGCTGTCTCCAGCACCCATATGCCAGGCACACATGGAGGGCGCTGTGGACATACCTGTGGACCGAGGGCGTACCTGGGGAAGGGACAGGCTACTCGGCCGACCTGGGACCACCTAGGCCTGGGATGTGGGGCGAGACCCTGGGACCCCGGCTGAGGAGGGACCGGGGGAAGGAGGCCAGGTTGGTCAGAGTGGGCTCCTGAAGCCCAGCCATTGCCATGGGAGGCCCTTGGCCCAAGAGGCCGAGCAGCAGACTTCTCAGGCCCCTGGGCAGCCAGAGGCCCAACCGTGGAGTGGGGGGCAGCCTCCCTCGGCAATGCTGGCCCAGGGTTGGCCTGATGCTAAGTGACTGGGCAGTGACACCAGCTGGAGCTCCTCCCCCACCCGTACTTAAATATTAGTATCTTCAGAGACCAAGGGGGAGAGGTGGGTGTGTGTGTGCCAGTGTGTCTGTGAGTGTGGCCATCTGTGGTGTGTGTGCCCATCAGTGTGTCCTCAGTGTGTGAGCTGAGCGTGTGCGTGTGTGTATTGGGAGCAAGGAGCCCTTCTGTCCCCACTCCCATCCTCAGCCTGAAGCCCGGCCATGTCCATCCGTGAAGTCAGGCCGATGAGTCTTTAAAAACCAAGAAACTGAAAAACAAAATCGAGACTGGGGCACAGCTGGGCAGAGGGAGCTGTCAGGGCAGCCCTGTAACAGGGTCCTTGATTCCCAGACATTCCTCAGGAGGCACAGCCCCCCCCTTGCCCAGACGGATGCTTCTGGCTATGGGGGAGGGGGCAGGGGGACACCTGTTGGGCAGATGAATATTTGGGCCTGATGTGCCTCATGCCTGTGCAGGAGTCTCTCTGAAGACCTCAGGCGCGGAACAGCTTCTCCCCCATGAGTAAGAGGGGGTTCAGGCCCACCCGGGGCTGGGGAGTCACCCTGGGCTGAGAGCACTGGGCTGGGGTCTGTGGAACCCTCACCCCACCCATCCCCCTCCCTCCCACTGCTCCCCACTGCTGGAGGGCCCTGTGACAGCTCCTATCCATCACTCAGCCCTATTTTTAGGAGGTGGTAACCCAGCTGTGAAAATTCACTCCGTGCAGATCCCTTCCACATGAGGAAGTCTTAGCCCCAAGCCGAGGAGACGAGCAAGGCAGGAGCATGAGAAGGAGAGGGGTGGTGGAGGGCCAAGTTGGACAGGAGGAGATCCGTGGGCCACGTGGTTTGTGACTTGCAGCAGGCACCTGGCAGAGGGGCACCCGGCAGCTCTGGGGCAGCTCACTGAGGAGGGATGGGACTCCGGAGGCTGGGTTCTGCCTTAGCTCTGTCAGTAGCAAGGCCCTGCCTGCTCTGGGCCTCAGTCTCCCTGTAATCTCTCACCTCCTGGGTTCTTTCTACCTCTTCTTTGTAGGGCTGGTGGATAAAATACAGGAACCCGCTTAACTATGCATTTCAGACAAACAACAGATACTTTTTTAGGCATAAGCAACTCCCAAAGGTTACATGGGCTATACTTACACTGTGAAAATGATTGGTTATTTCTCTGACATTCAAATTTAGTTGGGCATCTGGTATTTTTATTTGCTAAGTCCTGGCTGTGTGACCTTGGGCAATTTCACTTCCCTCTCTGTGCCTCAGCTCCCCCTTCTGGAAAATGGGAATAATAATAGTGTCCACCAACCGAATAAGGCTTAAATGAGCTGATACTGGTTGAGAGCTAGAGCAGTGACATAAAGGTCGGCCATCTCGAGATCCCCAGTGCCAGGACAGGGCCCAGCACAGAGAAGACATTCACTCATTCGTTCACCCAGAGCATATGGTCCACCTGTGACATGGCAAGCACTGCTCTGGGTGCTGGAGACAGACCAAGGATCAGAGCACTAGGCTGCTCTGGGCACCCAGGGAGCCTGCAGATCTCGGAGCTGCTAAACCTGGGTGCAGTGAGGGGCCTCTTTTGACCCAGGAGTTGAAAAGCGGGGGACATCTCAGTGGGGAACCCCTGATAAGGGCCTTGCTGAGGAGGTAGAAGCCTGCAGGCTGAGCTGAAGGCGGGCAGGGAGCATGGGGGTGGCTTATTTGAGGAGTAGAGAGAGTGGGGGAGGGGTGATGGGGTCAGGAGTTGGAGCCAAAGGTGAGGCCCTCCGTTGTCTCCTCAGGGCCCAGAGCTGAGCAAGCTACTAGCAGGTTAAAACTGCATTTTAGGGAGATGCCTCTGGTTGTGGGGGCAGGGGCACCAGTAAGGAGGCAGCCAAAGGAGTGAGAACAATGTCGGGGGACCTCTGGGCTGTTCCCTCCAGCTTTTCTCCACCCCAGGGCCTGTCTGGAGTCTCCTCTTTGCTCTCCTCAGGAGCTGTGTAGATTGTCACTTTTTAAGTTAGGATGGAAAAGGGCAAGAATCCAGCCACTGAGAGGAGGGGCCGTGGGGCCAGATAATCCACCCACCTCCACCCACACCTTCAGTTTGAGCCTGTCTGCGGTTATGCCACCTACCAGCTGGGCGGCTTTGGGCATGTGACTTGCCTCTCTGAGTCTCAGTGTCCCATCTATAAGATGGGTACAATAGCAGGGTGTGGTTAGGGCCCAAAGAAGTGAATTATTTCAAATGCCAGGCTTTGTATGACGCCCAGGGAATGGTTCAGACCCAGCAGGGCCACCTGGGGCACCGTTCTATCCCAATGGGGTGATGGGGGGGTCAGTGGGAAGTGGGACCCCCCTCCCCCAAAGGCAGGTCCCAGGCTGTCTAGACGTGGCCCAGGATTTCTGGGAAGGGCATTCACAAGCCACCCTATGGGGTCAGCCTCACTTCCCGTTTTCTCTGAGTAGAGGAAAGAGGCCCAGAGAGAACAAATTGCTTCCTGGGGCCACATTGGAGCCCAAGCCTCCCCAAGGCCAAGACCCTCAACCCCGTCCCCACACCCTTCCTCTGTCCTGCAGGTGACTGAGGCAGGGTCTTGGATCCAAGACCTCCTTTTTCAGCCCCAGACCTCCCTCATAAGCCTCTCCCCCTGGTAGAGAGAGGAAAGAACCCCACAGACTGGATTCTGGGGCCTTGGGGAAACCCTGCCTTTCTCTGTGCCTCAGTTTCTGCATCATAAAAGGAGACCATTACCCCTGAGCCAGTTTCATGTCTACTTGTGACATTTTAGGTGACTCTTTCTTGGGGATGGGAGAGACAGGACTGGGTGGGGAGGAGGTATTCCCCCCAATATCCCTCTGACTGGCTGGGCTGACAGGTGACCCTGGTGTTGCCATGATGGGGATGTAGTCAGCTGGCCAGACCTCTCCCTCATGCCTGGGCCTCCAAGGCATTCCTGGTGGTCAGGGCCCTGACCTCCCCCACTGTCAGTCCAGTGAGTCCTCCAATCCCAGAGTCCAGAGGTGACCGGGCAGGACCCAGGTCCCAGCTTTGGCTCTGGCACCCCACAAGTTTCTGGGGCTGCAGGGCGTCCCCACCCCGAGCACAGGGCTGGGCCGCTTCTCCGTGGGAAGCTGCAGTGTTTACCCTGCCGAGGCCCAGCTTTTACTCCCCGAGGAGTGTGTTTAGGAGGCGAGAACCACGCGCACACACACACTCACACACCATCTGATGTGCCAGACCACACGGGCTCCCAGCCCAGCCACAAATGCACCCCCAGCGCGTCCGTCTCTGGGCTGCAGACTGTACCTCCTGTACCTGGGCCCCGGGCCGGGTAGCCTCGGCACAACAGGGAACTGGCACTAGTTTTGAATTAACGAGTTAATAAAAGTGCCATGTCTGACCTCAGTTAATCCTTCCCCAAACCTCCCAGTTTTAGTCTATCCATCTTACAGATGCCCAAACTGAGGCTCTGGATGGCTAAGTAACCTAGCCAGAGCAGAAGCCAGAAGGTGGCAAGTGGGGTTCAAAGGCAGATCTTTGGGCCCCAAGTCTGGCCTGGGATGCCTCAGAGAGGAGCGAGGGTGGGTGTAGGGACGGGGGTGCATCTGCAGAGGCCACAGGCCGGCCCATTGGTCACAGCCAGACACCCATCAGCTCAGAGGTACCTGGCATCATGCAGCCCTGGAGGTCTGTGGATGGTGCCTTGGCCCTCAGAACATGCACTGATGGAGGGGGTGTCTCTGGTCCCTCCCCAGGCTCCCTGTATTTGGCCAGGCATCATGGAACAGGGATAAGGTGTGCTGTTCTGCCACTGGCTGACCTCGGGTGGGGCTCTCCCCCTCTCTGAGCCACAGGACCGTTCATAAAATGGGGCAGTTGGAGCGTATCAGGGGTCTTCACTTTAGGGGGCCTCATCTTGAGACTCTGATCCTCTTACTGGAATACGGCCCCTGTCCATTCAGATTTACATGGGAGTCTTGTGTGTGGGGGGGCGTCACAGACCCTCAAAAGGCTAGGTGAGGGACCCCCTGGGCCATGTATCGGGTGAAGCTGCAACAGGAAGCAAGGAAGAAATCACCCCTAAATTCCAAGAGCCATTACCTTTTGCTTTAGAAAGCTTAACTCATTTAATCCTCAGGGCAACCCTATAACTGGGGTGGGGAATGGGGGAGGTGGTCTTTATTATCCCTGTATTATGGTTGTGGAGACCAAGGCACAGAGAGGTGAAGTAACATGCCCAGGGCCACACA